TGTTTAAGAATACACATTTGTAGATTTAAGAATGTTTGTGTTTTCTAGTGCAGGTGGTTTTGAAAAGAAAATTGCTTAGCTAAGAAGTGTAAAAAAGTGCAAAGAGGAAGGGTATAAGAGAATATTATTGCATAGCGATTATTTAACTTAGTGGTCTGTTTGCAACATTAATGTCATGATTTTTCATTAGAACCAGTAGAACCAGTGTGTTTCACTGGCTTTCAGTTTGTTTGGTGCTTCCTTTTTTTTTCTTGTTATCAAAACACTTAAAGACCATGCATCCTTTCAGGTTGAATAAAGCCTGGAATTTGAATAATCACCCTTATAAGGTCCAATTTTTTTTTTAAAAAGCTTACTGTCTAGGCGGTTTTTATTTTTGAGACAGCCACCTTGTCTTATCAGAATGACTCGGTATACACAGTCTCACAGTCTAAAATAATTTAAATACTCAGTACTATACCATTGGCTTCCATAGCCACATCTTAATATATGTACTGTGTTTTTCAGATATTGAATGAAGATATTGAAAGCTGTGGCTTTTTTTGTTTTGTTTGTCTTTAAGAGGTCTTCTATACTAACAAATTCAACCTGCAAACACTACAGCTGAGTGTTACAAAAAAGGTCCAGTACTTAATAATTAGAGGAAGGCAGATGTTCATTGATAATGGCATGTTTTAGCATGTGCACATTTCTCCCTGAGGAAAAAAATCAGTCCTGGGCACATTAGAGAGAGCTGTTAATGCTATTGATCCCATTAAAGGACATTTGTAGTGCTTGGGCATAAAAATCAAATTATTAAGCAGTTCTAATAGAACTGATTTTTTTTAAAAGAAAAGATAAATGAGTGGGATTCTAATGGACAAAAAAACTATAACTCAAAAGCAACAACATTTGTGTTTCATAAGTTGTTCAAAATACTGTAGTAATGTTATAGTTGATTCTGTTCTATACAAAATGAAGTGTGAATTTGAATTAAAGCATGTAATAGTCCTACACTGTAGGAATGTAAATTCATTCAGATCAGAATTTTAAACTTTTAAGCCTATGAGTTTACAAGTTGTGTTTAGTTCTGAGTCACTGTTCAAGTTCTCGTTAGTGAGGGAGATTTGAAGCACTGTATAGCCTTCCTAACTGACTTATCTTATGATTACGGTTTAGGCCTTTCTATTGCCAGCTTGCCTCGGATAGCACACGGCTTTGTGTCGTCATATTTTATTTCTGAGCAGTGTTTTGACGGTACTCTGACAAAAGATTTAACAAAGAAAATGATGCGTCAGTAAATCAATTTTTGTAACGTTAATGCCTGTTTGAATTGAAGGCTTGGAACCAGTGTATCTTTCCCAATTGAAAGATGGTTAATTTGCTGTATACTTTCTTTGTAAATCGGAGAAGCTAGAGAATCCCTTCTGTTTCCTGGTCTGTGGTAGACGAACAGCAAAGTCATACATTTGGTAATAAGCCTGCATCAGACAACACTGCTCCTGAGTCCTCAGTATATTGCTCGTTTAATAAACGACGTGATGCAGGAATGCAAAGGCTGTCATAGCTGTTGATTCATACTGTGCAGCAGAGCATATAGTTATCTTCATTACCATTCCTGGCAAAACGAGCTGTTAACACAGCAACTCTTTTGGGGGGGGGGGAGCCTATGATGAACTGGATATCTCAAGAACTATTTTGTCTGTTGTCTGTAGCTGTACAAAAAGCCAACGTGATGCTGAATGTTTGATGTGGAGTGTACTATGAAGTCCCATCTAGATATTATTGTGCGAAGTACAATTTGGACTGTTGGTAAATCTACCAAGTGACATTCACGCCTGTGTAGTTGTTATTGGTGTCATAACTGTAAAATAACACGTACAAAGACATATGGAACATTAATGTGAATAAATAAAAAGCCCAGTCCAGGTAACACAAAAAGCTGATTTAATTGTGTCTATCATCAGCAGACAGTTTAACTAAATCTGTTCTTCTTGAGTATCCCTTGTGACCCTGCTGTTGTAGTTTATATTGAGGCAGTAGTAGTAGGGGTTGGGGTGAAGATATGTTGGGGTGGCTGTGTGTTTTTGGCATTAAGCATCCACTCCAGTGTCCGAAATGAGTTTTTGAAGGTCTGTAAAGCTTTCACATATTGCTGTCTCAAAATTCATATGCTAAATACATTTACACAGAAACAGCATGTTTTTCTTAATACTTTTAATAACAGTTGAAACATCATGCTGAGAGTTAAAGGTACATTAATAAATTTTGCCAGAAACTGCCAGAGCATGGTTCTCTCTTTGCAAATATTACAACAAAAGAGAGAGCCCTCTTTAGTCACGTTTAGTTTTTGTTTTTTATGTTACAAATGGCTTGCTTTTCATAAAACATTTTGTATATAACTTCTGTTTAATGTTGATACATTGTTTTCTTTAATGAGGGAAGACCACATTGTGGCAATTGTGTTTTGCAAGCACTCAAACCATTCCTTTTTGTTTTTCATATTTTTTTCCACTCAAAAGATGTACATTTACTGCAGAAATAAACTGGAATTGTGCTGAAATATTAAATGTCAGTTTAATAAATCTATTAAACATCTTCATAGTTTTGAAAATTACAGCAGTAATGGAATGACACAAAGCGCTACAGTGTACTGTGCCTGCATATACTCTAGACTCTAATAGTATTTCATAAACGTATTTTCCATAGTATTGATGTTTTTTCTTAACATAATTTTTATTTCTTCCTGTACATAATTCCCCAGGGTGTAGTCTATAGTGATCTTTGTCATTGCGTGACATGTCTTATTGGATTGAAAGATTAAGGGATTACTCTGATGTTGGTCTTGCAGTAAGAACATGTGAAGCGCCATTCTCTAAAAGTTGTCAACACCATTGCTGTTTACGGTAACAGGGAAGTTAACACTTTTACAGATGCGATAAAGAGACACACCACAAGGATCACAAGTGTAATGGGAATTATCATCTATTTATGTTCATGCAAACTGTAGTCGTACTGAGGTTAATGAGTAAGAATAGGTGTAAGTATATTCTATGGTGCCTTCTTGTTTTAGTAGTAATAGCTGTTGCTGTGCAGACATTACTAATCAGGTGGTCTACATCCCGTAGATATGCAGTTGACTGGGTCTGGGTTGATCAGGAGTACCTCCTGTCTTTAGTACTGTTGGAGTCTAATGGTTGTTAACCTCACATTACACGCTCATGTTCAAACCAGTTTGCTTTTAATGCATGGATTTTTTCTCCATTGCTTTTGTAAGACTACTAGCCATTATGTACTCGGGAGGCAAACTTTAACATTTTCTATATACATCACAGGTCTAGGAGCCATGTTCATTGCAATCATTGCAAACTATCCCAGGAAACACCCTGTGACATCATTATCTTAAACAATTAAATCATAAGGTAGAACAATAGCATTGTCTTCTTTTAATTGTCTTTAATTTAAAATTGTCCTGTTATTATGTTTTAGTTCGTGATATGTTTCAAAGTAAATAAAATACACTGAAAATATAATAAATAATAATACCTTTGCATTTATATAGCACTTTACTTGACCCTGACCCTGCTTGACCCAAAGTTCTTTACATATAAAAGGGGATCCGCTTTATCTATCCCATCCACCACATCACATGTACAGTAATAAAGAAATTACTATATTACAAAATGGCTTATCACTTATGGAAGAACATACTGCAATATTGACATTTTGTCTGTTATGTCCTCTTTCAAAATCTGACAATTTGAGCTGCTTTGTTTTCAGAGCTCTGCACAGGAGATAAGACTATAGCATATTGCATTTGACCCACCCATTAAAGCAACCTGGGATATTTAATGGATGGTAATTATTTGTTCATTGTTCTGCTGGAATTGAGTAATGTTTCTGTGTCACGAGGGTGTGTGCCATTACAGTGTTCATAGTCTGTGCATGTTGCAGAAGGAAATGGGTTTCTTTACAGGATGGTTTTAAGGGGGTGTTTGGAGTGATTATAAATAACTGTATTTTATATATTGCCTTTAAAAGCAGTAATCACAAAACACTTATAAGATTATCAGTTATCTTAGGTTTAGCAAAGTACTATACTAGTTATAAATCCAAACTGCTGACTGGTGCTGCAGCACAATTTCTTTGGCTTCATTCCTCTAAAAGGTTATATAGTAGAATTTCTTGTTTGGAACACAACCCTTACATATCATGCTATAGTTAAACACTTAAACATTTTACCTTTATTTTTCTTGGCTTTATATACCTTAAGCAATTTGGGGGTATAGCAGGTTTCTGGGGAAAAAGTCTTATCAGTATACTTACAGATATATTGGGGCTACTAAATCTTACGACATTCTGTTTTGGCATTTAGAGAAAGTCTGATATTGGAAATTTGTGTTTCCAAAATTAAGTATATATATATTTTACCAGTATATGATCTGTCTTTTTTGTACTTAATACTACAGTAAAATGTGCTGGTTCTGCACTGTTTTTTTTATCAATGTGACTTTGCTCAATCAAGCAAGATTTGCTTTAAGTGAATTACTTTACTGAATAACTTAGTAAATTAAAAATCTATTGGGTGGCACGGTGGAGTGGTGGTTAGTATTGTCATCTTGCAGCGCTGGGGCCCTGGGTTCCATTCCAGACATGGGTGGGGTGTTTTTTGTGTGCAGTTTGTGAGGGTTTTCTGTGTGAGGGTTTTCTCTGGGTGCTCTAGTTTCGATCCACAGTCTAAAAACTAAAAACCAGGTTAGTGGGCTTCTGGAAAAACTGTCTCTGCTGTGAGTGTGTGTGTTTGTGTCTGTGTGTGCTCTGTGAGGCACTGGCATCATATCCTCCAGGGTCTAGCCCGGCTTGCGCCCATCGTTTGCCAAGATGGGCATCAGCTCCCCATAGACCCTGAATTGGATGAAGCCATCAGGAAAAGGATGGATGGAAAAATCTGTTTCTTTAAAGTAAAGCATTAAAGAAGTCGTGGATTTTCTTGGTAATATTGATCTTTTGTGTCTTTTCAGATTGCCATCATGACAGTGACACTGTTTCCAATACGTCTCTTTTTTGCTGCCTTCATGATGTTGCTCGCCTGGCCTTTTGCATTTCTTGCATCCGTGGGACGTTCAGAGGAAGCTGTGGAGCCACAGTCCTGGTGGAGAAAGTAAGTACAGTAACTACACTGAAGCTCCTTTTGAGCGGAGCTAAACCTCTTTCACTTGTTTTCCGTTTCAGTATTAATTAGTGTCTAAGAAAACCTTGAAATAAATTTGACTGCTATGTGTCAGTTATGTTATGAGTTTTAAAAACATAAGAATTACAAATTGGTTTATGTTAGATGTAAAGATGCTTTTTCCAGTAAAAGTGAACAATAGTCTGTCCTAGGGGTTGGAATCCTATGGCACATGTGCCATTTTTTACATGCAAAGGGATTTTTAATGGCATGAGCAATGAAAGTGGCATGTGCAGTAAAGTCTAATAAGCCAAAAATAAATTCTATGTTTGAATGTTCTGTAATTCTGTAACAACTTGCTAATCAATGAAAGCTTTTTGACATGGCCGTCCTATTGTTTTCACAGTAAAGCTTGCAATCAGTTAATTGTTAAACTTAGATTTGCTCATTTCAGCCCTTTTGGAGAGATGAATATGGATTTGTTCAATATAAAGGTCGTGCTATTTCTGCTCGTATGTTGTGAGAGTGTCGTTTGTTGCACATCATTACATTTTCAGACAAAACATGACACACGCTTAGTGTGTGGATATAAATAACGTAATGCGATTAGCATTTCTTGTGAGATACTGTTATCATGGAACAATTACAGAGCAGATTTAGCTAACATGTTTATTAATCATTTTAAGGAAAGTGGAATTGATGTCAAGAAAATATTTTCTGTGATGACTGATGGTGCCCCCTCTATGGTTCGTAAAGATTATTGCCAGTCACATTGGCCACCCACGGTATATTTTCATTGTATTATTATTATTCACCGGGAACGTCTTGTGCCAAAATGAGAAATTATGAGATTGATAATGTGGTGACTACAGTGGTGAAAATAGTGAATTTTCTTTGGTGCTCGATCTGCCTTGATGCAAGCTCTGCTTCAGGAGATGGGCATTGTGTACAAGGGCCTTTCACTTCACAGCAAAGTGAACCTTCCTTTTAGACATTCCTTATGGACTGTCGTGATCCAATCAAGATCTTGTTATTGGAAACAAGTCAGCACTACTCTGAACTGCATAATGAAAAATAGGTTGCAAAACAAAATTCAAAAATGTTTTCAGTCAACATCACCACGCATATAAATGGGCTACCCTCTGTTTTCAGTGTGCAGACCAAACTGTTATGGGTTTTTTTGAAAGATGGAATGCATGTTGTGCAAAACTTGCCATTTAATATTTGGACTTAAAGAGCTTTTCTCATTGACAACTCAACTTTCTGCTATTGCCAGCATCTTAAAGAACTTTCAAAACATTGCATAATCCATCTTGTTGAGTTTGGAGTTTACATGATAGAACTGGTATCAGAATTTTCTGTCAAAACTCCAAATTTTTTCCCCACTGTTTTAATTTCTGATTTAACCAGACAGCTTTGATACCAGCAACATGTTTTTTTCAGTGTTTCAGTGAGTGGATGTTGAGGATTGTGAAATGTACATGTAGCTAATTACAGTGCACAGACTTACGTAACTCAAAAGTTAAAGGATCCGTGAAATACACTTGAAACTACCAAAATCGTGAAGCTGGCCTACTAGGAAGAATTGCTGCAAAGAAACCATTGTTAAGAGTGCAGAATTAAAGGAAGAGACTTGCCTGGGCTAAAAAACAGGCCAGCTTTGAGGCCAGCTTCACGCAACCTCTTCTGAATAGTTGATGTTGAAACATCTGTATTTTGCCCTGTTCCTTCAGGAATTACAAACTTTTTCCAATGCTCCCTATATTTATAGTACTGTAATTGTGTACCCTCACCTGTTTACCAATAATTGGTGACTAGTGAGAACCTGTAGCAAAGACAATTTTAAACTTCTTTTAGTGTTCTAACACCATGTTAAACACTCAAGACATGCAGTTCACTCAAGATTGTAAGTAATAAGTAATTAAATAATTAAATATTAAATGTTTATACACAAGTTTATACAGTTTAAAGCACAGATGATCATGAAAAACCTGGTTTCAAGGAGGTGTATTCAAACAACTGTTGTGGTAAAGGAAAAAAATTGACATTACGCACTGAAAAGAAGAAAGAAAAATGCAACATTTGGCTGTTGAACCTTCTTTGCGGGCTGAGCACCTGAAGACTCTAAAGCCTTCGTTTTCTGTTTGTCAGCATAATTTTGTCAAATATTAAATTAACTAAGGACAAGCAAAACGTAAACAATTGAAATGGTCTTGCTTAAAATTGAAAATGAAGGACATTGTAGGTTTTAACATATAAAATCAGGTTTTCTCAAAATCATATATATAACACTTGAAAGTGGAATTTATTTTTATTTTTAGAACATAATCTGAAATAAGCTTGTTTTCCATTGTGAAGAATACTTGAAAATCATACTTGTATGTTACTTTTTTAATTTGACAATGTATTAGCACAATCATCCAGTATTTATGTACTTGTTTTGCAGTATCAAACTACAACTGATAAAAATAAAATGACGTGTGATTCATGTTTGTCCTATGAAAATGCAGAACAAAATCAGAAGAAATAACTAAAGGACAAGTATCATGCTTTTGCTAGAGACGGACTTTCTATTCTTGTCATGTATTTTAACACTGGCAAGCATTTCAGACAGTTCATGCTGTGAGGTGACTTGTTGCTTCCAGTTAGAAGGTGAAGTGACCTAATATTACCCTGTTATATCAAATTCAGTTTCCGTGTTTCTTTTTCACCTTAAGATTCATTTATTCAAATATGTATTTAATTGTTCTTTTTCCATGACCAGTAACAAAATGTTACTTCCAGCCTTTTTTTTTCCAACACTTTTTTAATTGCATGGTTCTACAGCATATTTGAAGGAGTAGATTGTAATGTAATGACTCAGTGTACATTGCAGATTGCAATTGCAGATACACCTGAAATAAATGCAATAAAGCATGCCTTAAATTCTGAATTGCAGGTATACCTTAAGTAACAGCTTTAACGTATGAAAAATGTGAGATGAAAGGGGGCAGATGATTCTTTGAGCTATCTATAGTAACTGTACAGTAGTATGAACATATTTTGTTTTCAGGCATCTAGATATAATCTCTTATTTATGTCTCTGTGCCAATACCCATCGACTCCACACAGTTAGCTCATTTGTCTTTTAATCCTTCTATTCCCTTATAATATAACTCTTTCGACTGCTGTGGTTCGACTCATCAGTGGTGAGCTTCATGAAATTGTCTACAACCCGGAAGCACAGACTGGTAGAACAATAATAGTCACTCAAAACTATTTCTTTGCTGTATGAAGGCTCTTTTAATTGCTTAAGCCTACTCTGGCAGCCTGCAAACTGCCCTGGTCTTAGGAACTGGCAGTTTGGTGTGCAGCAGCTGAATACCATGTGTTAATATCCCCCACTGTTTTTCACAGATGGCTTTGCTCAGTTGGTCCAATAAGTCAGAATAATATTAAATGGCATTTGTATCTGCATCATAAATCCCAGAAGATGCCAGTCATAATCTTGCTTGCTGAGGCTGTGATGTGGTACTTTTTCAAGAGTGAAGAAGCCAGGTGGTTCCACTGCTTTGACTCATTTTATGTGTTGTTGTATAGTGGTGAACTTGTATGTCATGTCTCACTAGTCTCATGTACTGCATTTTGCTCTGTCATTGTTCAAGAGCTCCAGCAGCTCCCTGCTGCACTCCAGTGTCTCTTGTTGATCCTGTGAGCTGAGGTTTGGGGTCAGTGGTCTGGCAGAAATGTTTGATGTTGTTCATAGGCAATGGTTTCAAGCTTCCAAAGGAAAAGCTCACTTGTGCGAGTTCTGAACCTACAATTGCTTTCCACACCAGGGATTGTTTGTGGATTTGTTGGGTCCAAGTTCATCCAGACCTGAGAATACCTTCAGTTAATGACGTGCAGTGTTTGAACTTCTTAGCCTGAGAGCTTGTTTCTCCCAACCCATCAACCATGTATCTATGGATTATCTTTGCAGTGTAGTCTGCCTTGAACCAACATTTAATAACACTATTCAGTATTTTGAAAGTATATCATTCGTTGAAGCTGGAAAGAAGACAACCATGAAATTCAACATCACTTCTAAATGATAGTGCTAAAACACTAAATAAAAGGTTGAGTGCTAATATTTTCCGTGGGGATGTTCCCTTTAAACTGTTACAGGCAAACTGCAAAAGGTAAAAAAAAAAACAATCAGCACATTCCTTTGTATGTGCAGTGTTAAGACCTTCTGGTGTTTGGAAAATGAAGAGTTAATATAAAGAAAAATGCTGAACAATAGTAAAGAAACCTTTAGCAGTGTTGTAAGAGGATGTATGTATTGTGCATATTACTGTAACACAGTGAACTATTTCAGCTATGTTGTGACAGATGATGGTTCTGTAGATTTGTGTTCATGTTAGATGTGCAGCTTGAAATACTGTACTCAGTTAGTGCAGTTAGTGCAGTAGTCTTACATTTCAGTCACAAAATTCCTGTCGTAAATATGGCAAAAATAAATGGTAAAATTTGTATTTTACATCCAGTCCTGGTGCAGTAAAGACTTTTGATGAGATTGTGCTTACTCAACAATTACAAAGCAAGGTTAGAAAATATAAAAGCAGACCTTCAAAGCTTAATTTACCTGTCACATGTGTGTTCAATCTAGAAATTTGCGGGTGCAAAATTACATTGGAACTGAGGGAGAATTTAAGTAGTGAGTATATGCAAGATGAATAGGTGAGTATAGTATAGACAGCGCTAGGGATAACTGTTCTCTGTCTATAATTATTTATTTCTTGACTTTTTTCTTGAAAAAAGTAACTATTTTGAAGTGAAGTAGAGCAGGTTTCCTTAGACTTTGAGTTCCAGTTTACACTTCTACTGATTTAGTGTTATTTAATATTAGTTGTTTATTTAAACGGTCAGTTTAACATCTCATGTTATTTAAGAAGAAAAAGGTAATTACTGTCAAATATCCTTTCCTTGGGTTTAAAGTATAAACCTTATTTTCAAAAAGTACGGCCAAGACTTTATTCTTAATCTCTAAATGGTCTGGATTTATTTGTAGTAACCATTGCAAATGAAACATGGAGTTTTGTTTTCTTTTTTTCTTTTTTTTTAATTTTAATTTTTTTTAAATCATAAAGGCACTTATTTATCAGACTGAACAGGATACTAGTATATTCAGTTACAGTGTACACTATCACAAAGAATAGAAAAAAGCACATACAGTATGGCAAAGATGGAAGATTCAGATGCACTATAATGGAAAAGAGGAAAAAAAACATTGTTTATTATATAACTGTAAAGCTTTTACCAGATTGACCTTAATATGGTGATTTTTCTGTCAGTGGATTGTTTCCTGTGTTTTAAGGCCAGCTATGAAAATTTGCCAAATGGTACAGTACCTACTATAATTAGGGCTTTGATTTTTCCTTGACATCATGACTTGAGAGGCTTCTAACCTGTAGTTCTGTCATTTACTCCAAAGATCACTATTGGTACTCTGAAATCAGCAGTCATTAGATATTTGGATAAAAACTGTAAGTAATTATATAATTAGAAATTGACATGAGTTTATTGGTACAAATTCCTAAATGGATGCATTTAAAGCAAAATGTTAAATAAAATTAAAATGGACATACAAGGTACGCCAAAAACTATTACACTGAATGAGCAAGTGCCACAATACCCACCTGGTGCATTGCCCACTGATTGATACAGCATAAGATCTTTGGACAACTCTCAAAAGATGACAATAGACTGATGTTTAAATACAAGCACCAAATGAAAGGTTATTCTACACATTCGTGAGAGGGAATCCTATAAAAGGTAAAGATATCTTGGAACACTGTTCATGCTGTAATTTAGAAAATACCAGAGGCTTTGATCTCGGTTGATATTCCTCTTGATAAAGTGGATTATCCACTAGCAATTTGCAACAAGCATAATAAATGGTGTGGCAATTCCTACACCTATAGTTCCTAAAAGTCATCTGATAAAGACCTATTTAGTATAGACTGCTATACAAAAGCTACATTAAGTAACTGATCAAAATATCTTGCTGTGTATTTGTGGTTACTGAAAAATCTACAGATATAAAAAATCACTATGTTTTACATATTATTTTATTAGGACAAACGTACCAGTGAACTGGCATTTTTTATAGATACTGTAGATGCAGCAGATACTGTTTATCTGCATTGCAACATGAATTACTCCTTGGTGGCACAGGGCATTATGAAATGTTTAAAGGCATTTGAATTGAATTTTAAAACATAACTATATCTGTTTCATATAATGTTGATTACAGTGACATTCTTAAAGGCTTTTGTTGTCAAATAGAGTACATTTGACAAGTAATGCCAACATAATAGTCTTTGCAAGTAATATATGGGCAATTAATTTCCCAAAATTCTTCAAACTGTAGTCAGCATATTCAGTCCAAAACAACTGTGCAGTTTAGTTTTGGATACCCTCCTGTTGTGATGATGAATGAAAATCTGAAGTGGACAAAGCTGAAAGTATTACTTTGAATTTTTGAGGCTGAAAAATATTTCCCAATTTAACACAAAGGGCTAATTGATATTTGTCATTTGTTACCAGTTCCATGGATGCTGAAAATGTTTATTCATATTACTAGGTTTTTTAACTGCAGCATCAGTCCATGAAGGAAAATCATAGCATTTCAGTTTACAATGAATTAATTTAGCAGTAACGTATAACACACTCAGTGCTTTCTAAAGATAAGATAAGATCACTTTATTAGCCATATACAATTTCTTGCATTAGGAATTTGTCTTTTCGCATACCCCAGCTTGCTCTCCATGAGACACACAGGCACACGGATGGGGAGAGAGAGGCTTGGGGTCAGAGCGCAGGGTCAGCCATTTATACGGTGCCCCTGGAGCAGTTGGGGTTAAGGGCCTTGCTCAGGCCCAACGGAGTAGAATTCCTCTGCCGGCTGTGGGATTTGAACCAGCAACCTTACAGCCACAGGCGCAGATCCTTAGCCACAGAGCCACCACTCCACTTTTCACTGCCAATCATTCAAATGACATTTACAAACTCCTTTGTTAATTTCTTTTTCTTATTTTTACTTTACATTGCTATGACACTCATTTTCTGATTTCTGAAATTTTCATCTCTTAATGCAAAGCAAAACTTATTTTGATGAATCAATATTAACGTGCTTAGTTTGTATGGCCACATTGTAATACTGATTAATAAAATGGAACCTTGATTAAGCGTAAATAGCCATATATGTCACTGTTAATATACATGCTTATTTTTGTTCATTATAATAAAATACATAATTAAGATAGTTAAAGGTTCACAATAGAATGATTGGTTTATAATTGGCTTTAGAAGAAGCTATATCAATGTCTTGTTAGTGAAGGACTAAACTAAAGGTTGGAAAATTACAAAAAATTCCATGCCATAACAATCATTTTTTTTCTGTTGTATTATTTTTATATTGGTAAACAGCCCTTCCCTTTAACAGACGATGTGAAGTTATGTTTTCAATGTGTTGTCACAGCTGTAAATAATAGATTACTAAATGGAAGATACATTTTTATGGGAATTTAATTACATGACTGCTACATGAAGAGAAGAGTCATTTAGCTTTGCTGTTAAAATCCTGGTTTTTGTGTGCTTATCAAATGTTTTTTTTTCTTGTAGTTGCTGTTTATGGTTTTTTCACTGATCTAAATCCACATTTTTCCTGTGTCCTTTATCCATGTATAGAGTTGTGGATTTCCTCCTCAGAGCAATAATGAGGGCAATGTGGTTTGCTGGGGGGTTCCACTGGATGACTGTGAAAGGGCGCCAGGCACTGCCTGCTGAGGCTTCCATTTTGACTCTTGCGCCACATTCTTCTTACTTTGATGCCATTCCTGTTACCATGACCATGGCTTCCATTGTAATGAAGGCGGAAAGCAAGGACATTCCAGTTTGGGGCAGTAAGTACCTTTGTTACATATTACTGATTGCATTATTTTGTTGTTTGGAAAATCTGATAATATGTTAGAGATGCCCTGGGGACTATGTTAACTAAAGTACGTTTGGGAGTGCACACCTTTAATATCCCTTAATGCCTTCAGTCTTAGTCAAGTAGATATAGGTTATCGTTAAAAGGTTGTCTATCAACAGCAGGCTGTCAGGAGAGACTTAATTGTGATGAAATGACAAGGCCAGTCAAAAGCTGATATGGCTTTGTTGGTTTTGATAATCCAGTTTGCACACTCCCCTCTTAAACTGCATATAAATCAGAGTCTAGCAATCATATTTTTGTTCATTTAATTGTTAATTTTGAGTGCCACAATAGCAAGGTGGTTATACCATGAAAGAGTAATATTTTAATCTGTGTATTTTAACCTTTTAGACTAGAAATTAGTCCACTTGCTCTTTGAATTCCCAGGGCAGCTGTATTATTGTTGTAATATGGTACTGTACCAAAACTGTGCATAGTATTTTAAATGTGTTCTGGTAAGTGCATTCTATAATTTAACTTTTCTTGATTAAAATATCCTACATGTTTAACTCTGTATCATAGCCCTTTGGCTATTAATCATTTTCCAGTACTAAACAACATCTCCTAAATCATTAATGGCTAGGCTCCTGAATGGTTCAACCATCCAGTAAAGGTGCTAATTCAGAGAGCAGGCTGGCTTCTATGATCCAGACATCACTAGTTTTTAAGCTTTAAGAAATTCTGTAATTCTGCTAATTCTGCTCACCATTAAGTTACGTTCATCGACCAAGTTACAAGGATTGTTTATTTAATTATAAAGAAAAAAAGCCATAAATAAAAGAAGATAAAGACAACATTTGCTTGTGACATTGCATTCTAGAACACTGTAAAAGCAGGAGAATAACTTTATGCACGTGTTTATTTGCTAATGACATACATGCCATTTGTGTTTCTTGTGAATTTTACAAAGGTGCAATTTCTGTGGAATACATAAGAATACTTTTTATTCTCTGTATTACACTATATTAAATTCTCATGAGCCCCCGAGGCCCCATTTGTAATGATGTGACAGCATAGGTTATATAAATATTCATATACATAAGTAAAATCTATTCAGTTTGATACTGATTTGCTTAACTAGAATGTTCCTCTTTTTGAAAATTAATAAGACTTCTATTTAAAGTCAAATAGAAGCCAAAGTACTTTAAAAATAATATGTATTTTGCATACAGTCTATTGCTATTTTTTATTCTTTTTTTATTGCTTTATTTTCCCAGGTAAGACAATTGAGAACAAATTCTTATTTACAATGATGACCTCGAGACCCATTTATACAGTAGGGCATCTGATGGCGCAATTTGAGTGAAGTACTTTGCTCAAAGGGACAACAGTACTGTCCCACTCAGAATTAGAACCTGAGTGAAGTGCAGATTCTTTTTGCTAAGTAAAATGCAATCATCACTAACTGTTTAGTTGTTGAAGAAAGCTGTGGGTTCTGTGGCTATCATTTACATTTTTAATAACTTTTAACTTTGGTCTCTTAAATCATGTGCAGAAGCTTCTGAAATGTATTTTAGCAAGAGCATTATTGTCAACATCAAGCAACTTAATGCAGGCTCTCTCTCCAGGCTCACAGTAAGTTAATTTATGCTTCACTGTTGCATTCTTGAAAGCATTCTTTAGTAAATACAATATTTTAAATTATATACAGAATTTTACCTCCTTGTGTGATGAAGCACGCAGTGTAGACATTTCCTGGACTTTATACCAAGAAGACTCCCTGCTGATAATCTGCTTCACTAAGTACAGAAATGCTCTTTAGTATCACTCAAAAGATCCATCTGTTAGCCTGTTGGGCAGCAAGCAGTGCCATTTTTAATCATTCGCTTGCGGCAACTATGCTTTCATACAGGAGTAGGTGATGGATCAGTGTCCAGAGTCCAGTGGTCCCATCGCAGTCTCTGGCAGATATTTTATTACTTTTCCAATATGAGAACCTGGTATGAATGCCTTCAACGGCAGTAAATGAAGCTGAATAGAGACAGAAACATGTTTAAGTAAGCCTTCCTACATGTGTGTTTAGCATGTAGGAAATAAGACTATTAATAATATGTTGTTAATAATAAAATCAACCCAACTTGAAGTACTTCAGGCTCAACATTAAGACAAGAACCCAGGGCTACTAGTATGTACTGTACATTAAGAGAACGTGCGTATAGGTCTGAAAATAAAAGGAATGTTTGTATGTGGAGAGCCATATTCAGCCATGTTGTTAAGGAAAACTCCCAGGGATCTTGTAAGAAGTTGCTAGATTAAACTGTGGGAGCACTATTTTTCTTCTAAAAAGGCAAAAAAGACTAAATGTCCACAGTTGTTGTTTGGGGCATTTTGGAAGAAAGAATTGTGAACAGTAAATATCCCAGTATTCATATACAATGAGTAAGCCAGGACCATTTTCTTTGGTTGTATATATAGGTACTTCTACCAGATTAATGAATAAGAATCTAGTTTTGCCTTTTACCAAAACATTTTATTTGTGTTTTTAGTGAGGGAGAGTATGTGTACTTCCAAACAAAATTCTTCAAGAGTATCTACCTGACTCACGGTACCACAAATTCACAAGATAATAGTTTTCTGGGTCCATGTGTCTTTCATAGTATTTCTGTCTTTACAAGTAGGAATGCACACAAACAGTACATATTTCCATGTTCCAAGACAGGAACCAACTGTTATCTCACTAAATTACGAGGTAGTATTTTTCATTTATGTAATGTGAGTTCTTCTGTAACCTAAGTTGATTTTGAAGAAAAAAAGTTCAAAATTCGAGGTCTATAGAAAAGCTAAGAGTATTCAAGTAATTGTCTTATAAATAAAACATAGTGAAGAACATAAAGCTTTGAATTATGTGCAGTATCTCCCCGTGCTGCATAGTACTAACAGATCTTTAGATGGATGGATACTTTATTACAGTTTTGAACAAAAATGTACACATTCAGAGTCATAATGAGAAAAATATATCCATTTTAATTTTCTGATTTGTAATTTAGACAAACTATCAATAAAGAGCCCTATAAAATGGTCCTGTATACTGCACAAATTAGATTTTCTTTAAATTACTTTGCTTTTTGAAAAGATTGAAAGGTTCACTATATTCTACATCATTCATACTTCTCATTAAGTTGCAATATTAGGCTTTTTGTTGCAAGTGACCAAGAACTAAATATCCTGTTGAAAAGAACTAAGTTGGAATATCCAGTGATTTGTTGTTCCTTCTAATCTTGGTGTATGTTCATTAGATTTGAGTGTTTAGAGCTATCCAAAGCAGGATATGGACATTGTGTTTGCCTCCATTAGTGTCCATTAGTGTTACTGTTTTTTACAAGAATTTCTCTTACCTTATCTTTTTGTTGTTAGACGTATTTATTTCCCATTCAAATGGTTATTTAAGATTATATATTAGACTGTTATTCAGGTGTATTCCTGTGCTGCAGCAAAACTCCATTTGATTTTAACAACTCCTTCAGTATTCATTGTGATTGCATTTTTCATCAAGTGACGTGATTATTAATTCAGTATGCTATGAAACACAAGAATACTGTGTGGATGAATCTTTTAATTTAATAAATACAAAAATGTGAAGGTGATGTGCCATGAAAGGTGCTTTATGAATGTTTATTATTATTAACACCCAGCAGGTTTATGAAGCCTCTTTGACACTTCTTTTTTGCTTTAAATACTTCTTTAAAGAAGTGTCTTGACAAGATAACATGTGTAACTATTGTCATCATTTCTTCACACAGCCATTTGATTATCCTTATTTTCCTTAAAGTTATTTTGATATTTTATTTGGAATATCCAACACCCGTCATTTTTTCCAATAAATTAAAATGTGCGGTATGTAGCGACTGCATTTTCTCTTATCATGCAAGTGTGATTTTGTTAGGAATTGTCATTGTCAGTTGTAGCACAATTCAGATGTTTTCCCAATTTGCTTCCTGTCAGTGAGCACATAAAAAGGTATGCATTTGCTGTTTTTTTCAAACAAGTATTTTACAAACAAAATACTTTAGCCTGAAAGAATTGCACCTCTCAATACATGCAACAGGAAATAGTATGAAGGATCATAAGTTAAAAAATACTTGTAAGTGACAAAACAGTTCACCTCTCAAGATAATGGCATCTTAACATTAAGTGTTCTTTCTCTGAGCAGAATCCTCTGTGAAAGAATCTTAGGACTTTATTTTCTTTTATCCTCAGCTTTAATCAAGTACATTCGGCCAGTTTTTGTATCCCGGTCTGATCAGGACTCCCGAAGGAAAACTGTGGAGGAGATAAAGAGGAGAGCCCACTCAGGAGGAGAGTGGCCTCAGGTACAATGAACCCCAGATTAGCAGAGCAACAACAGTCTGAAAGTATTGGTCTAACGAACGGTATAGATTTTGGTTAAGAGGAGAATTCCTCAGCACACATTCCCAAACTTTTATTTAGCACTATAAATATTATGATGTCTCCTGCTCCTACTGATAGATGTTGTGGCAAATACAGTACAGTAACTTCTATATACATCTGGTTGTTTTTTAATCATGCTGTGCAACAGAATCAGCTGTGGTTTGTAAATAGAAATATTTCATTCACTCTGTAACAAAATATCCTTACAACTGTATTGTCATAAAATAATTTAAGCACATTTTAATTACAGTGAATGGATACTGTCTTAGACAAAGCTATGAAAGTAAACTGAAATAATACAAAAGTGCTAGCATAATCCATAATCACTTAAATATGTTTTGATGGGTTTTATATTCTTGTGCTTATGTGTCTGAAAGTACAAAATGTCCACTTGATTTGTTTATTCCAGATAATGATATTCCCAGAGGGAACTTGCACCAACAGGTCATGTCTGATCACATTCAAGCCTGGTATGTATTTTACAGCTTTCTGCTGAAATGGCAGATTAGCAAAAGCAACAGAATGATGCCAGTCTCTGATTGAACTCATGCAGAAAAAGTTTTGTTTTGTGTTTTAGCTCAGCTGCTGGTTGAAGTACTATCCACAGAGCATCCCAGGCAAAATGACTGGACCATAGTCAAAAAGCTGCTCAAATGCTCTTTTATTTCTTTGTGGAATGTTTATTCTGCTTATCTGGTCAGCCCATACTTTGTTGACCTTTCATTCTGCTTTTCTCATTAACATTTCCTTTCTAAACAACTCCTGATAACCATGAGCAAGCTCATAATTAGATGTTCTGAAAATGTCTCTCAGGATTGAAGTCCTTCATTCTATTAAAAACGGAGGATAGATGAGCCTGTCCAAGATATGCTAAATTTTATGGCCGAGTTCTCATATTCAGAATCTTATTAACTGTGATGGACATTAATAGTCATTCAAATCTTTTTTTATGAAAATGTTGTTTTTGATGTTAGTTCTCAGTTGACCTCAAAGCACGCAATTATGTATATGTATGCTCTGAATATGCATTACTACAAAGACATTAAAGAACTTGAACAGTATTAAATGTAAGGTGTAAATTATGAAAACATTGCCGTTGATCTCAGCTTTATATTTTGTAAATTAAAGGTACTATTCCTCCCATAAAAACGTTCTTCAAATACTAATAACCCAAATTTTGGTTTGACATTGTCTAATGGTTTATAATTTCTGGAGTAATAACCTTAACACACCTGCCCCCTATTGATGGAATTTGGTATGATTTTTTTCATTACTGTTTAAGAGTTATTTAGTTTTGAGTTTTGTATTTTAGTGGGGCTGCATAAATATCAGTAATAAGTAAAAGAAATGTCAAATTAATCTGTTGTAATATATTAATTCATGTATTTCCTTATTACTTATCACTGGCTGTCATGGTATATTCTGATATGTATTATATGCTGTTCAAATGATATTTTATGATATTTTATGACCCAAGCTTGAATCAAAACCAATATGAGAATTAAGGTCAGAAGTATTAGTATTGAAAGACAATATTTGGGAAGCTATGGTTTCTGCCGGAAGTGGTGTTAGTGGGACCAGCGGGAGGGGTGCCTGCCCTGCGGTCTATGTGGGTCCTTATGCCCCAGTATAGTGGCGGAGACACTATACTGTAGTGGGCACCGTCTTTCGGATGAGACGTTAAACCGAGGTCCTGACTCTCAGTGGTCATTAAAGATCCCCGGGCATTTCTCGATAAGAGTAGGGAGTTATCCCTTTGTCTGGGCCCAGTTTCCCCCCTCGGCCTTTGCCGTGGCCTCCTAATTGTCCAAATGTATGATTGGCTTGCACTTGCCTTTTGATTTACTGGCACCCCATCCAGTGTGTACCCTGTCTTGTGTTCGTTGCTTGCCGGGTAGGCTCCGGCTTCCCACAACACCGTATGGTATAAAGCTGTTTGGCAAATGACATGACATTATCTTATCTCCCTGGAAGACCTCTTTAAATCAGTTGTTGTGAAGAATAGAAGTAGTAATGAATTTCAAGTCCACGTTTATCTTGTGATAGAGGCTAAAATAAAACAAAATTCAGTACAGCATAACTAAAACAACAGTATTTCAACATCAAAAGAACAGTAAATGAAGAACCCAGGTGTGCCTGAGATAAAAACAAATCACTCAGGTGCTTTACCAATTATGAACATTGACAACATTTCTGAGCCTAACAGTGTTCTTTGTGAAATTATTTACTTAGCATCAAAAGAAACATACCTCTTTATTTGTAGAGGTACAGTGCCATGTAGATTTATTAATATTCCCAATGAAACAAGAACAAAACCGTGCATAACAGAATGAGTTATAGATTAAATACAGTCTTGTTTGCATGTAATACTTCAATTATGATAAAATTGCACAGAGCAAAGTCTTGCTTATTGGAAGAGCAACAGAAACATCAAAAATCATATATATATATAGACGTCCAAAGATTACTGTCCCTTTGGGTCAAAAAAGAAGATAAAACATGGAAGACAGTCAGTAGTACCATGCATCATTATGGTTAAGGCTAGACATCTATGAGAAAACTGCTGACATTGTTTGAACTGGACAAACTAGGGAATGGCTATGAAGGAATCTACTACAATTGTGTACTTTTCACTGTAGTGTCCATTATTAAGCAATTTAAGGCTTCTAGCATAGTGGCAGCCTTTCCAGGAACAGAACGCAGCTATTTGAAATCTCCAGTGTAGACTGCTATCTTCACTTAGCAAACTGTTGAAAACTGCTATTTGACGTTCCCTGCATGAATGTGATCTTTGTAGCCAGGTTGCAAGGATCATACCTCTCATAGTAGTAGTAGGGCAAACTACTAAAAGAGGCAAATCGAATTTCCAATATACATCTGACCAACAGTTCGATTCATGTCTAATGTTAAGATGAAAAATTATTTTTTTGAATATGCTCATTGGCATTATGTTTGGTGTAAAAATAATGAAGCACATATCCACACTGAAATATGGCCGGGGATCTGTTATTTTTTATGTTATTTTGCATGGATGGGTTCTGGAGCCCTTGTTAAGGTAGGCAGAATCAAGGATTCCAGCATATTCTCATGTGACAGTGATCCAAACCATGAATCCAACAAACAAATGATTAACTACGTACAAATTAATGATCTTGGTTATCCATCTCAAACCAGATCTTCAGATCTGAATGAAGAAAAACAAACACAAGAAGGCAGTTTAAAAATGGAAACCAAAGAGTCTGAAGGAATTACTCTAGGAAGGTAGAAATGAAGTCATCAGTAGTGCACTGGTTTGCCTGTACAACTGTCCATCAAACTATTTAGTGACCAGACCAGTCCTTCTTCAGGGATTTTAAAGAATCCTGGTAGTGATCATAGGTCTAATGAGAAAGAGAGTTAAGTAATCTGTGCCCAGATTTATCTTAATTTCTGCATGTACATAATTTCTTTTTGTGAGGCTGGACTGAATAAGAGAGACTGTAAAATGAAAAGCTCTAGATATTTAGGCCTAGTACATAATTTCTTTTTGTGAGGCTGGACTGATTAAGAGAGACTGCAAAATGAAAAGCTCTAGATATTTAGGCCTAGTCCTGTACTCGCCAACCCGTGACAACTAAATGTTTGTCTTTGCTCTTTCACTTCATCTTATATAGCCTACATGTATACACGATTCTTTACTGGAATATATTTTTTCGTCGGACACCAACTCCCCTACAAAAGTTTGAATTTATCATAATAAACAATGACGTTTTTTTTCTATTAGTATTGGTGTGTATATCCTAAAACCCTTTTAACCTTTCTTTTGAATATATGCAAATAACTATTCAAAACATTTAGCCAAGTCCAGACCACTTTGGCTTTGAAGTTTTCCAGTAGGTGTAAGCATGTTTTGACTGTGCTTCATTTCAACTGGTGGTTCACAGCATTGCTTAACTGTGACGACACACCCAAAAGGTAGTGACTGGGTATCAAGTAGGGCAAGAGACAGTGCTTTGTAAGTTTTTTATTAGAAGCATAGCATGTCTTTTTCCCTCCCTCATTTGCATTATATAATTTGCATTTCAGATGAGCAGTATTTATCATGGAGATAATATGTAAACTCTAAAGATGTGTTCAATAATATGGCAAATTATTTAAAGAATCACTTTAGAAAAAGATAAAAAAGGAAACAGTTTATTGAGTTAAAAAGTCAATAAAATCTTGCCATGACGTCATAGCTACTGTGAGTATTCTGGTCTGCTTGGCATAAGGTTGGACCTACTATTAAACACATTCTTTTGCCCTTCCTTATCTGGATGTATTTGCTTTGTTCACTTTGTTTTGGCACTTCATTTTATGGTTAAAGTGGCAGCTTGTTGAATGCTGATAATATCTGTCTTGTTTGCAGGAGCTTTCATTCCTGCAGTGCCTGTGCAGCCTGTGGTGCTCCGCTACCCCAACAAAATGGTAAGAGCCCCCTGCTGTGCTGGCTGCTGGGGCGCTGGACACATGATTTATTAATTACGCAATCCATGATGATGGATGGCAATTTCTTGGTTTACAGCAGATTTGCAGAGCGCTAATGATGTAAGGTAACATCTTGCAAGAAAAGTGATGTATGTGTGATTAAAATATGTACATTTTTAATGTGATGTGGCTGTTTGTACTTAAATATAGAAAGACAGTTTTTCCCTTCTTCCCAAAACAGAGAGAGATTAAATAGTCTTCTGCTGTCTCTGTGTGGCTTAAACCTGATTTCCCTGCTGCTGGATGAATAATGAATGTGCGGCTGTTGTTTCATTTCAATTTCCTAGAAACACATGTGCGAGTGAGACCTCTTAGTCTCAAATACACATACCTTGAAAGTGTGCCTGCGTCTTGTTTCCACCTGCATTAATTCCTGACACTGTGGATTAGTGCATGCAATGGCAAAAATAAAATGTAACATCAAAATGCTTTGTTTCTGTCTTACTCTTTCTAATACTGTTTTAACTTGAAGAATACCATGTTTTTTTCCAATTTCAAGTAGAGAATTTGTGTTCAGCTACTGATCATTCCCAAAAAAGGTTATTATAAACTGTTGTACTGATTTACATATTAATCCTTAAAACAAAGGTAACTAATGATGTGTATTTTGAAGCACAATCTAGCTCAAATTTTGTGGTACACTAAACCATAGTAAAAGTCCACTGCTTCCTGTATTAATCTCTTGTGTACTGATTCAATTGATTTTTATATAAGGGAGTGTTCACAGAAGCAAAGAAAACTAACACATATATTATTGTGGCAAGTGTTTGTTTCACTGTCTTTAGTATAGCTTTCCTAGGAGCTTTCAAATTGTGATGGAAGAAGAGTTTAAAAAAAACTGCATATTTATTTTTGTATCTGCTTCACTTGAACTTCAGTTTCATACATAAGTCTTACTGTTTTTAAATGGCTAAGTGAATAGTTTCCCTGACTTCATTAAATTGAATACAACTTGATCACAACAATCATAACATTTACAGGATAATGTATCTATAACTAAAAATTACCAGTAAGGTGATATGTACTGTACTCAGTATGCACTGCGTGACATAAGTTATGGATGATGTTATGAATGTTAATGAAGCACTAATGTGAATTAACTTCTATGAATTCACAATTAGTAAATAATTGTTTTAGTGAACTGGCTTATTGGAACTGATTATAATGTATATGTTTAAGTACTGTAAACAATCCCATCTCATAAAATTGAGGTGATAAGTAGGATTGGGTGTGCAAAAATTAATAGTCTGAATTATTGTATTAGGATTTTTAGATAAACTTACCTTTTCGGTATAATTTTCTTTTTAATGACATATATAAATGAATTTCCTCAAGCAAATGCTGCCCCTTATAAGCTTTTTGGAAATGCATAGTCAGAACTGCAATACATGACATGACTCCTTTTTTCTGTTTTTCAATCGTCAGTATTTACGCAATGCAGTTATTTGATTATGGGGTTAAAATCAGACATTTCCTTCTGCATCTTTATTGCAGGATACAATTACATGGACTTGGCAAGGGCCTGGAGCGTAAGTGTGTTTGTTTCTTACTGTATTATAAACCACCAGAATCATTGCTAATCGGGAGAGAAATTTAATGTGAATTAAATCTATGTACCTAAATCTAAATCCATGCAATCCAGTCACCACAATTTGTCTGCTATTGCTAAAATTGTAGAAAGTGAAACGGCTTTTTTGTAGACTTTGGACTTGCCTATGCTCAACTGTGTAATTTAGGAATTTTGTCATGTGTAAAAGCATAGCCATTCATGTTCAAATCTGTTTAGTGCTTTTGAGGACATATGAGTTGCCTTATTGTAAACATTACAGAATCCTAAACAAGATCTTAATCTGATTATTAAAAATAATATAGAAACTAATATTAAAACAATATGTTGTAATGATATTGGATTTTTAAAATATTTTTTGTTGTTTATTCTGTTGTTTATAAACGGTTTCCTCAAAATAATCTTGAATAAAAAGTAGATGAACTTGGTGCACATCAAGTATATTTTGATCTGTTCTCCTGGTGTTTTTTGTTTAGATTCAAAATTCTGTGGCTCACCCTGTGCCAGTTACACAATGTTGTGGAAATTGAGGTAAGAAAAATGCCGACTTCATATTTTTATTGTGATGTTGATAAGATACAGAATCAGAAATATTTGTCTTACGTTTTCTTTATGCAAGCTTTAAGTATAACATAAAGAGCTAACATTATATGCTTGTATATTTCTGCTTGTGTGTGTTAGTATAGTTTAAACTTCCATGAGAATAATGCACTAGATTGAAAATCTTTTCAATTAAGTTTCAGATTTGCTTAATATAAGGCCTTTTGATTTGGAATGGCAAAATGTAATAGTGGGTAATATTTAGAAACATTACCTAATTACAGTAGATGCAGAATACAATTATAACACAAGGAAGGAAAATAACTAAAGTCAAAAGGCAATTAAAATATTACAAGTTAAAAAATCAAAGTAAAATCCTAAAAACATTTATACATAGAAATACATACATTCTTGGGAACAGATGAATGCACCACAACTAATTTTCTAATTTTCTAAGTCCGCTTCCATACTGTAAATTGAAATTGACAGAAGCAAAATAATACCTTTATTACAGAAGCTGCAGAACAAATAACTGCTGTAAGCCATTTTAAATAATACAAAATGATTAATCAGATTTATTGAGTTAAATTGTAAAGTTGTTGAGATTTAAATGTGAGGGTCCTTGGGTTATTGAATTCTTAAAATGATTATTTTATTTGTTTATTTTATTTATTTTTTTATTTATGTTGTCTTTACAATTAGTTGGTTATGCATAACTTGTTCACGTTTTTTTTTTTAAATCCGAATCTTCATTTGTTGATTTATATTGTTTCTCTAGTCATTTAGTAATGTCATTTTCATTTTTAAGGAATCTAAAAGTGAGTTTTTTTATCGATTTTCTTATTTACAAATTCAAAGTTCAACTTGTGCTGCAGCCCACATCAGCTCGAGGAGGATCAATGCCTCTGGCCCACACCCCTCAGTAAGGTCAAGTCATTGAGTCCTAAAAGACTGACAGGAGGTCACTCATGGCTTTGTGGTGCACCTGCTCAGTAGAGGCATGTTCATTTGAATACACACAAGCTGATTTTCCCTCCCTAATGTGGTAGTGAAAATGCCAGCTTTGCACATCTGACAGGTTAGGAGCAAGACTTGTAACTTGGCATGGCTATAACAAAAACTAAATAGATCCCTTAACTCATTCATCCCCTGGGGCAACACATAGCATGCCTTTTGACATCCAGACGTTCATACTTTGTTGGAAATCCCTATCTTTGGGGTTACCTGTCAAATGAATTGGAGATCTGAGCCAAGAAAGTCTAAGATTTAAGTTGTGTAAGATGTTTTGATCTGCGATATAGCTTTTCAAAATCCGTCTCATAATCTCAGATCATCATCCTAAAATCATAAAAAGATCATAATCTCACCTTCAACATACCACAGGAGTTAGGCGGTTTTTAAATGATCATTGACATGCTTGATAATCATGCTTTGCATGCTACTATTGTTCTGAGTTTTTCTAATTTATTAATTCATTCATTTTGCACCAAGAGATTCAGTGACACAAGTTGAGATTCACAGTGGTTTACATCCGTTTTAAAGAGTTTTCATTGATGTATTCCAAAATAAATCAAAATAGCAACTTGAAGCCAACTAAAAAATCTTCATGCACATACTCTGTGACATACTGGGATTGATGATTTCATAGCTTCCAGTGCTACAGAAGAACAAAAGACACAATTTTCACAGGAGGCAAAAATGATAGTTGTGCTTCAAAATTGCAAGCCAGTAGGTTGCAAATCAAATCATATAGCAAATAAGTTGTACTACTAGCTCATGGTGGTAAATTTTATATAAACCATCTGAAAATTACACAATTAGAGACTCAAAATAGATTTTTTTAGAAGATGCTTTACCTATCCTGTCAAGATTTTTTGGTTTTCAAGGTTGTGAGTATTCCTAAATCCATGATGCTGGTGAATTTCTGCAATCACTCCTTGAACAACAGATAAGAGTTTGCTATCATTTTAAAAAATGTTAAATATAAAGCTATAAGTGCTTAAAATCGAATTCTTTATGCATTCATATAAAGAGCTAATATTGACTCTTAGCTTGAATGAATAAATTAATGAATAAAAAGTTTTTTCAACAAAAGCACTGAAAAACTATGTTGAGTGTACTCTTCAGAAAGTTGTTTGTGAATCGCTAAATTTCTGTAATGATTAATGAAAATAGGAATTCTGCCAAGAAGTAAAAAGCTTGTGTAAGATAAATAGAAATAGTTGTTTCTAGATTATCTTTAAATAGTTCAATGTTAAATAAGGCATGAACTTCCATGTTTATATACATGTTAATTTGACAACACTACTTACTGGTACTTGTGAATAGGGCCAATGAAATCCATCACATGTTTCTCTATTTAAATGCTCTCATGCAACATATATTTAATATATGTGGAAGTCAGTGTACAAAACAGCTCTTTTAAAGCAGTATGCCTTAAGCTGGAAAAGGTTGGGAAAACACTGCTGCAAAATTTGGTCTACAAAGAAATTCAAATTATCATTTTTTTTATTCAGGCTGGATTTCTGTTTGGTTAACTCAAGCCTCTGACTTGACAGGGTGTTCTCCTCTACACCATGGTTGCCAGCTCTCACATTATGAGATAAAGTTGGGTTTTTGGCTATATTAAATGAGCAGAGCCCAAAGTAAAACATTTGCATGCCTGGTTTTAAATTCCTAGTAATTTAAACCCCGATTTATATTTGGTAATTACAAGTCATTTCTATACTTTATTTCTTTTTTGATTTAGTACCTACCAATCTACACTCCTTCTGAAGAGGAGAAGAAGAATCCTGCTTTATTTGCGAACAATGTGAGGAGTGTGATGGCAAAGTAAGTCACATGCAGAAATTTAGATTTGCCTTTTTCTGCATTAGCAGATGCAGAGATCTAATCACTAGGTATTTTCCTCTTACATTCCTCGAAATGATCTCACAGATGTCCACCTTGCCTTTTTACTCAGCACATTTTCTGTGATTTTTTGTAAATGGTTATTTACTTAATGTAATATAGTGTATGGCTGAATACATTGTGGAGACATTTGTTCCAGTAAGTGCATTTGTGGGTACTGCAGTATGTATTTTTTGTTTTGATTAATGATGACCTCTTATAGTACTCCTGTGTTGGAATTGGAAAGCCAATGTTGTCTTTTGGTATTATTATGGGGATGTTTTGATTCAGGGCTTTGGAGGTTCCTGTTACAGATTACTCATTTGAGGACTGCCAGCTAGCCATGGCTGAAGGCCAATTCAGACTTCCAGTGGACACATGCCTCTTAGAATTTGCAAAACTCGTTAGAAGACTGGGGTAAGTATATCTTTCAAAAACACTTTAAGATGTGTCTTTTAGGTCACGAGGCTTGGTCATTTGCATTTAGAGTTGGGTTCCACATTGATAAGAAAATGATAGCTTCAATAAGACGTTCATAATAAGGGTCATAATATATGTTTTGTGTACTGGAAAGTTATTTTTAATTTGCTCCCCAGCCAACCTTTAATTGATGTATAAAACACACTTAAATAAACGTCCTGATCTCAGTTCATTTCAGTTTGTCATATGCACAGGTGCAATGAAATGGCTTATTTGCATGTATGCTCCAATACAAAGACATTAAAGGAGTCACCAAAAACTTAAACACCGAATAGCAGAGGCAACAACAACAAATTAAATAACATGCCATTGGAAAAAAAAGTCAGACAAGCAGTGTCAGGAAAAAAAAATCAGTGTGAACCAGTGGTAGGGGTAGAGTTCAGTAATCTGACAGCTTGTGGGAAGAAGCTGTCTCTGAATCTGGAAGTTTGTGCTTTTATTCTCCTATAATGCTTACCAGAGGGAAGGGGAGAGAAAAGTGAGAAAAAAAGTGAGATCTGTGGGTTTCAAGGGGATGATGTCTCGCTGGTAAAGATGTTGTCTTTGATAGGTAGTGACTCACCTGGGTGAACACTTATGCAATCCATATATCTTAGTCTTATATTTTTCATTCCTGACATTCCGCTACTTTCCCCTACAAAAGTGTTCAGTTTGAGCATTTTAAGGTTTGCTTTAAAATAATGTCAGTAAAGGTATATCATTTGTTTGAAATTCAACAAAATGAGATATCATTGGAAGAAGGTGAATACTTTTGTAAGGTACTGTATATGTAAAACAGTAATATATTTTCATGAATAACTGAGCATATGTCAGGAAGACAGTGTAACCAGTATAGGACCTCTAGTGCTGTGATTTAGTGGATTACAGTTTCATGCCCAGAACAAAATTAAGATCCCCTAATAATATGGATGTTGAGCAGCCCACTGCTTTTCTATTGATTGTTTGATTGATTGATTGATTTTTTTCATATTTTCTTGAACCTGCAGGTGTTGGCATTGTATTCTTTTGAATATTTGTTCCTGTTTAATTTTTTTAAACTTCCTTTTTTCCCTTTTGGGCTCAAATACACTTTGCTCCTGGATTTAAAGTCTTGAAAAGCATTCCAACATATTTGCTTTTTATTTGCACTTTTTAAATTTATTTTCTCTGTTTACAGAGAACAGCACATAGTGTAGTATCAGTTGCTGCATCCTTGCCAATTATACATGCTTAATACACATTGTTAGAATGAAAAACATAGATTTGGAATTTTCTTTTAGATTAAAACCAGAGAAAACCGAGATGGAGCTTGAAGAATATGGCAACAGGGCAAGACCGTTCAAAGGCGAAAAGCTGAACATAGAGGACTTTGCCAAATATTTAAAACTCACAGTCTCAGATACATTGAAAGACATGTTCGCACTCTTTGATGAGGTAGGTCTTCGATTGCAATTTAACAATATATTGGTCTTTCCCATATTCACATTTATAATGGTAATTTTATTCACTGTTGATAGTTGTAGTAATCACTTTTGTGCTGTAATTCATTAAACGGTTCTGGAGATACTATAACCTTCTCACAAACTGTTAGCTCTGACATTAGAAGTGTGACTTGTGTATTTTAATTTAAAAGGTGCATGTAAAAGTTGGTTGTGTCTTATTCATTTAATTTTACTTTAATGAAACCTTGAAGACTTTTTAAATACAATCTGAAGTGTTTGTGCAGTTTTGACAAATAATTATAAATTGTTCACTAATTATGGTTAAAATATGTGTACTAGACAGAAATATAAAATTCCTGTGCTGTTCTTCCTGAAGTTTGACGCAATATAACCTGCAGAAGTTTTCTACATACCAAGAAATTAAAATTTTGTTGACTATCCAAAAGTTTTGGGCTTCTTATATACCACTTATTGTGAAAGTTCAATTTGATTACTGTAGGACAAGTTAACCAGCTGTGCCACTGAAGCTTTTAGAAAGGAATCGATGGGATTGTGGTTAATTCAGTTAACAGTTAACAGAAACAGTTTCCTTTTGTTTTTATCCTTTTTTGTGCTCTTATATTCAGGTTTTGATGATATGTAAGATTTATACATGCTGTATTATCACAGAAAATCTATCTGTTTAAGGATTTGCTTTCTGTTTTGATTACATTTCTTTCAGAATGCAGATGGCAAAATGGACATTCGAGAATATGTGATTGCCTTATCTGTAGTATGCAGACCATCTAAAACACTGGAAACAATAAAACTGGCTTTTAAGGTAGGCTAATGTATTTTAAACTACAAGGGGGTAGTAATGCATGTGCACATTGCTGTTGAATCATTATTTATAAAGACACACTGAGTATTTGCAAAACATGAATTACATGGTTACAGCTTGTTCTTTCCAGACAGAGAAAGGTCTGAATAAAGTCTTGTTCTTATTTTGCTGTCAGTAAATTCTTTGGTGAGTTTCATTGTAGAATGACTGTAATGCCTATAAATGTTTGTTGTTCACAAAGAAATTTAAGTTCTAATGCTTTTTTTAAATGTAGGTTATAAAGCATTTATCAACTAATTGTAACTAACATACTAGCAATAAAAAGGCTTGATGAATAGGAAGAGTAGAGGATGCTTAAGTGCTTAAGATGTGCTTTATAAGGATAATGTGTACAAATATAATAGACACATTAAGTAACTCATATCTTTTATACATGACAATAAAATATTACTTTTATGTAGATAGGAAATTACTGATAAACTATAGTTGACTGATTTGATTTGTCACCAATTTGGATCTCTTAAGCATACAGCATACTGCAGCACAGTAAAAAAAATGATTTTCGATGCTTTATTAAACTTGATTAAACTTAACAGACTTATCAAACTAATTTGGGCCACAACAACAGTTTCCTTTGACTAAAACTGTGCAGCATGCTGTTTATCAAATATTATTTTCTACTATTTCAGTTGAAAGATTAATACTATTATTTAGTTTTATACTTTCTAGTAATTGTTATAATGTTAATATCATTATTTATGGTGGACAACATTGCTTTACAATTAGTTTTATAATTACTATACATAAAGCTCTTGCAAATAGATTTCTAGGTCAGTTGAAAAAAATATTTTTTTAGCTATTTTTTAAGATTCCCTTTTCTCAATAGATGTTTGAGACAGAAGAAGATGGGCCAATTACAGAAGAAGATTTAGCCTGCATTTTAAAGACAGCTTTAGGAGTTTCAGAACTGAATGTAGCAGACTTGTTTTGCGCCATAGACATTGAAGAAAGGGGAAAGATCAGTTTTGGTAAGAACTGTAAACATTTTTTCCCCATTATAAAGGAGTCAGTGTCTTGCATAATCTCTTGTTCTTTTAAAGTTGATGTCTTCAAAGAACATACAGACTAAATGCATCTTGTCTATACACTATATTGAAGTTTTCTTACATTTTAAAAGTACATGTTTTTCCTTTTAAATTGAGTTAAAAATGTGTCCATTGAACACAAATCTTTACCCCTGAACACAATCACATGTTAATGAATACTCAGTGAATATACTGATTAAATTTAAAAGTGACCCCCGGGGATATCTTTGCTAAGATGATCCTGGCAGACTACATGTTTCTACTAGGACTCAAGCTCAAGTATTCCCACAGGCAGCTAAGGAGAACAATGCAGTTTGTTTAAAATAACTTTTAAAACAATCTGAAATACCTTTTAAACATTTTAAATATCTTTCACACGTAATAAAATAAAATTAGTAATTGGAATATCCATCGAGCTTAGTCAGTGTACATGAATACGGATTTAGTTTACGGTAGCTGGAATTTTGTGCTTGCCAAAGTAACAAAACTAAAGACGAACTCCATTAAATAGGACAAATTAAAAGTATTTTACTGACAGGTCTGAAATGGAGATGGAATCTAGTATAAATGCATTTAACCACTTAAGCACAGGCAAAGAAATACAGATACCTGAAAATGTGCACAAAGCAAACAAGATCTATAAATGTCTTTAGCAAAGTGTTTATTAGTGTGGGTATTAAATGTGCAAAAAAAGAGAGGTCAAAATCAATATCATTTGTTCTTTATTTCACTTGCTGAAAACATTTTGCAAAACAGATGACTCTCGATATTCAGGTGTGTCCTTTTACAGATCATCTTAAACAAAACCATGTGGAGTCCAATGGGAGAAAATGAAAAAATTTACTGTCCTTCAATTAAATAAGTATTTAAATTATGCTCAAAAGGTTTGAAGTTCTAGCTGCCGTCATTTTAAATGATGGCTTGGTATTTAAAAGATTAATATAAATGTATCAATTTTATTGTTAACATCTTTCTCATTAATCTTGTGTGTTATGTTCCCTTTTGGTAGATGATTTTAAGAACTTTGCGGATCAGCATCCAGATTTTGCAGAGCAATACCTCTATCCAGATCAGGCGGGTTTTGAGAGCTGTGCCGAGACCCCATCAACAACACTGGCCAATGGTTTCTGCCCAGACTTCACTCCTGAGGATCTGAAGAAACTTAACTGAAAGGTTATTGTAAGATCCCAAGTCTGCTCTCCTGGTGAGAGAAAATGGCTTAAGATTGGGGTGTGCTACACGGTTAGTCAGACGAGTGAGGGTTTAATTTAACTGTGTGAACATGCTACTTCCACCTCTTAGCTTGTATTTATTACAATTTCAGTTGTTTTTTCTTTGCTTTTTGCTTGGGAGAGGTACATGAAAGCCTCAAAATGTGAATGTGCTTCATCTGTGAAAGAATATTTGAAGGGAAACCAAGCACCTTTGATTTTGTTTCTTTCCTTTGTTTTAATTTGGGTGAAAATTGTAACATATTGACTGTGCATGTTTTAAACAAAATTCTAATGGAAAGATGAAAACGTTAACGGTTGTGATTAGTGAACTTTGTTCAGTGAAATAGTGTTGTATTCATTTTGTGAGATGTTTATTTTTTGTGTTAGCTTAACTATTGCTTTGAAGCAGCCTTTAAAAAACAAAGAAAAAGTGTTTGCATAGGATGGTCTTGGGAATGTTTAGTTGGAACAGTGTTAGACTGATAAAAAGAAGAATCTGAAAAACCTTTAAGCACCCATAAAGGCACAGTGCAGTAGCTTTTGACTACTGACTAGATTTTAATGATTGGTAAGATATGATAGGTAAGGCAAAAATAAGATACCGGTTACAAGCCAGTTTAATTGTGTGCTCAGGGGACCAGCAATTTCTAAATGAAAAACAAACAAAAAACATAACATTACATGGAGAGACATGACCAAGGTAGTAACATATACTTCTGCATTCATATTGTATGTAGATACAGTATGGGCATGCACAAGTTCATATGAGAATGCATCAGGTTTACACACTGAAGCCTTTTTTTGCTTATCAGTACTTTAGTCGTAATGTACTGGTAGAGATAATCTTGTTACCTTTTACTTCAATATGCACAGATTTGCTTTCAAAAACTTAAATGCTCAGTGGACCAAAAACTCTAGACTGACTGAATGAATGGTTATGTATGTTACAGTCAAAGACTACAATCTGAACAATGGCAACTGACAAAGAAAATGAGAGATTTCATATTGGATTTTTGTCTTTTCTTTTACCTGTAACACATATACTGTACACATGTGGACCATGTACTGTTGGCAAAAAGGCAAAACAATAAGTCGGGTTTTTGTTTATTTCTAAATATTGTAAAATCATGTTAGCTTAATTTTTTACCCGCCTTCTTCAGGCCTTACAGTAAGATTTGAGATATTCATCCAACATAATAGCTAATAGTATTCACAGTTAAAAAAATGTTTTAATTGGATTAGATTATATTTTTACAAAACAGCCCGGGCATAGTGAACGAAAAATGCCCATGCTACTAAAACACTGTTACTTTTTTAAAGTACAAACTGTAACTAAAATTGAAAGAACACAAAAGCATTTTAGTTTTAATTTATTTTCTGTGAAATATTTACTTTTGCATTTCGATTCCATTTTGTAATAAGGTTTCATAGCAATGTACTGTACAAAATAACACCTTGAAAGAAAATCTAAACTAAGAAATATTGGTGGGGTTTACATGCGGAAGTGAAAGTGTTGATTTCTTATTTATCACACCTCTCAGCAGATCGCATTTGCATATTTTTGGTCTCATAGAGAGAGAAATCCTATTACAAATTGAAATTCTGCCACAGTGAAATGCTAAGGTACTCCACGTTGGTTCTGTGGACAGCGGATGTTTGCTGTATTTACATAAGGATTTCAGCTGTAAGTATGAAGAAAAAGAAAAACAGTACAAATAAAACTTATCAGTACATGAATGTGTCTTTGAAAGAAAGTTGTTATTTTTACCAGTATGGGAATTATTTTACCCGTATAATTGCCTAATACTAGTCTATCAATGCATATATTATGTGAAATAGTATGTATCATAAAATGACATTCAAATAGGGGCAACAACAATGTTTGAGAAAAAACTCAATAAGTAATGATTTTGATAATGTCATTTAAAAAAATCATACACAAATAATGGAGAGAGCATTTGAAATTCCTTTTTTAGATGCACCAGATTTTAGTGCTTGTACTTTCTGTAGCATGAAGATTGTGCATGACTTGTGCACATTAGCACTGTACAACAATAGCACATGGCAGGATTTTCTAAACAATACTGTATGTAAACCCAGCCATTGGCATCTGTTCTTTCACAAATGTAAAACAGGTATCTAAATATGCTGTTTGAAATTATTTACTCATGAAGTGTTCCAGCACCATCAAGAAAATAATTTAGGCTCTAACTGAAGAAAATTATTTTGTAAGAAAAGTGAATGTTGATACCCTCCTCTCTTTTTAATGCAAGAGCTGTACTTCATGTTGATATTTTTATCACTTAATCAATTTGAAGATTTTCTTGGCATGTGAAACATTTTCTAATCACCTGTAGTTTTCAAACAATCTAAAATAATCTGATTGTTTCATCTTTCAACTTTTAACTGATCACTGACATATACCATTAGATGTGTTATTATCACTTTACATAAGCAAATTCAACGATTTTAAACCAAATTCAAAACAAAGTCACAGCTAGTTATGTTACATGTCATACAATCTTTTGCATTGTTCTGGTAATTAACTTGCATTGGCTGTACTGTTTATTTCAACAATTAAACTGAGTCAGTTGTTAATGCTACAATCCCAAATATTTATTTTGGAGTAAACTTCCTTTTACTTCTCATATAGAGGTTGCTTAATATTTCAGATATCAAGTCATTTTCAGTGCTTTGCTTTGGTAATTTGATTAATATCAGTGTCACATACTAAGAAAGAGAAGCATAAAGGAGAAAAGGGTTGAAAAAGTTATGCCTTGAAACAATAGCAACTCTGTCTTGGGCTCTGTTACTATCCAGATAGTCTGCAATGTCTTATTATACCCTCTGTTATCGTTTTGGATGTTGTTGTTTACACTTATTACACATTATACATACACTATTTAGAAAATAATTTCCTTATTCTTCATCAATTGAAATTAATGTATGTTATATTGCAGCTTTAAGTATAATTGAAAAACATAGTTGTTGAGGGTGTATAGTGCCTACATGTTCACCTCTTATTATCAATGTTAATATCAGCAATATTGAAAGCACTTGTTGAAAAGAGTCTAGGCTGTGCAGGCTTTGATTTTAAATATTTATTGAAAGAAGCATATGGTTTTTAGAGTGAATCTATTTAACTTTAAATGGACAACTAAAAGTCTCCAGATTCTGAAGCAGCTTGGTTTTTAGACAAATCTGCATAGGTATTTTTTTTTACTGTGAATTCTGTAGAGCACAAGTGGTGTTCAGTCTGTAACTTACTCTGAGCACTTTTTTATTGTTTAGTTTTATCTTGTCTTGTAAAACCAGATACTTAACTCAAAGAAATGGCGTAATTTAAAAAAATATTCATCCTTTTAATACCTTGGCAAAACATTAAAAAGGTGCTCAGTGTTGGGGAAAAAATGTGAAACAAGTCACAGGAAAACCTAGAAAGATAATCTTAAAGTCCCTTGGTATATCAATATGCACCATGTAATGTACTTTCTTTGCTTTCCCTTTGAATTATACATAAAATGTTTTCTAATTGTGTATCCAGATTATTTTTTCACATGACACTGTTCAAGCAGTATATTATTTTGCTCCACATGAGACAGGGCTACTTTTGTAATGCTTGTTTACTTTGTGGAAAGCCTTAAAATGGTAAATGCAAGTTAATGGCTGTCTTTGGAGCCTCTGAAGTTAGTTTTGTATTGTGTGTTTATAAATTGTGTGATACAAACAATACTCTCTTGGAAAACAGTGTGCACAAAAGACTTACACAAAAAGGAGATGATGTTTGCATTAGTCTTTTAAGTATTATATTTCTGTATATAGCTTTTGCAGTTAAGTGGTAATATTCACTTAAAGTGTTTAACCTTTACATTCCACTGTTCCACTGTTTTCTTGTTCATGCTATTAAAAGGCCTGTAATACTTTAGATTGCTTTTTATTTTTCAGGGAGAATTGTTGATTGATCCATGCAGGTGAAAGAATGCATTCACATATGCAAAACATAAGAAAGTTTGAGGTTTTAAAACATTTATTTCAGGGTCAAACATTAAAGTCAGTCACTTATAAAATCTTTATAAAATGGTAAAAGAATAATGTTGGTAAAAAGTTTAAGCTTTTATCTTCTTCATACTTCTTCATACTCATACAAGATGGCAGTTTGTCTTACTGTTACACTTGATTGCACTTTTTTGCACGTAGAAGGCACAAAATCAGCCCACAGTGGATGAATTATCTATACTGTTTATCTTTATGTAAGTCTGTACTGTGTACTGAAGCTATATTTTATTAGCATTTTCCCCATGATGTTTTGTCTAGATCTTCAAACAAGTCCTTTTAATATATAATTTAATATTCCATGTGCTAGGTATTATGGGAATTTCATTGTACATGACTCTTGCTGACTTCATGCTTCCCTTACATTACCTTTGTAATATAATGAACATTCTTGTGCATTTTATTATTATTATTCATTATTATGACAGTGATATAGTATAGAAAAACATAACAGAATGCCACCATTTGTGTATTCCTGATAGAATTGTTGTCATTAATAATGATAAAATGTGCTGTAACATCCTTTTTCCCCCTTCTTGTACACATACCTGTATACGAATTTGATTAACTTTTGTAACGTTTACCAAGGAATTCTTTACTTTGAGGTTCCTGTTTAATAACCATAACTGTTCTTGTGAAAATATTGCCCTATACTGACTTAACCAAAACGTAAAATTATTAAAAATTTTAAACTTAAAATAGGAATATTTCAGTGGGTTAGATGAGGTCATTTAAAAACCTTAGAGTTATTTGCAGGGTTTATGTGGAGTCAGAATTGATTTCTTTCAACTTGTCATTTTCCATTTTGTTTCCTAAGACCAAAAATGTAATAAATTAACATTCCTGTTTTTTTTTCCTTGCATTGTTAAAATGAGAAATAATTACATCTTCCACAGTTGTACAGTAGTGGTTTGTCTGTGTGTGGCCTTGAATTGTAGATATTTCTACTCATGACAGGTCTCAACATTAAAAATGCCACTTTTGAAAATGTTTATAAAATGTGGACACTTACAATTAACACTTAATTGTATGACTGTAAGCTGTTTTGTTTTATAAGAAAAAGGGGGTTTCTTATTCCATTGAAAGCATACAGATTAGATCTGTTCAGATGTGTACAGTATATGTATGCATACTGTACAATATGTATATATTACTTATACAGTATATGTACACATGTACTGCCACACATGTACAGTATGTATGCATTCTTGAGATACAGATGTATCTGATTCAGCTTGGACACACGTTATCCACACAGAAACATTTTGAAATGAGATAGTCTTTTCAAAATCTTTTGACAAAAAGTATATATATGTTTTGGATGTTGGTAAAATCTAGTCTGAGATGTAATGCCAATTAATAGCAACTTAGGTGAACTATACCTCCCTATTTATGCATATGTATTTTCCTGTTTCTGCTGAGGAAAAAAGGGATTGTTTTATCCAGTGTTTAATATTTGAACAGGGGTGATTTTTTTACAATTCAGGTTCATTTTCATAAAACAATAATCAAACCTATTTTCACTCCACAATATCACAAATATCACTCTAAAACATTGAGGGCACTTGAAAGGTAAATCATGTCCTTCAGCTGTTTGTGTTCATTTTTATCATGTTTATTTTGTTTAAATACCTCATAGAGAGAAATGTTTATCTTCCTGCTCTGTTTAACGCGTTATAAAAAAATATTTATTCTGCTGCCCCCTGCTTGCTGTTGTGTCCTACACTGAGCTGAAGAAGAAAGACTCTGTTAACTCGTAATTACTTCGGACAGGTACTTGTCTTTCTGATGGTTTGTGTGTGGACCATAGTGCAGAATGTGCTGTTATTCAGTAGCTTTTTATTTTGTTTTTAATATCTTTGGAGAATCATTGCTCAAGCTACCTTGTACTGTCTGGTCATGACTGCTATGATTTAACTTGTCAGTGTGACTGTAATAAAAAAGAAGCAAACACAATTATCTTTCATTTGTTTTATTTTTGTGTGGCCTTTTCCTAGAACCATACAAAATATTGCCAAGTGTAGCAAGTGGCTTGTTGATACAGATAAAACCAGTTGCATGTGCTAGCTCATTAAATGACCATATTAAATTATAAATTAGAATATAAAGAAAGTTCCAATGTTTTTAAATCTCTATCAACACTGATCTGTGTGGTAAAGAATTTTACAGGCTGCCTTCCAGATTTACTGTAGAATAATGTAGTTAAAATGGCAACATTATCTGCTACTTGTATCTCGTATGTTTTTTTAGTAACTGCAGTTTCATTAACATTGTATAGAAGCTAACAGATTCTGAAAGAAATGTCTTGTTTTTCAGTTTTACATGGTTTTTAGCCTTTTGAGTTTGTGTACTGTCACATTAATGTCAGTTGGACATGATGCAACATTAAAAATATGATGAAGATATAGTGGTCCTGAATTAGAAGGGGTGATTAGAAAATGGATGACAGTGACACATCATTAACATTCGTGTTTATAAATGAACTACATATGTACTTGTTTAAGAAAAAAAGACATTTCAAGAAACATTTAATAGAATTAAATTTGATTTCCATACAAAGGCTGGAAGTTTAGTAAACTCTTGCAAAATATAAATGTAAAACCCCCTAAAAGGCACAGTAAGTCTTATTTTTTACTATTTACTGTTTTTATTATCTAGAGTACTGGAAATAATGGAAAAAGGGGAAAAATATTTATTTATAGATCAGTAAAATACAAAGTGGGGACTTCTGCTTTGGAAAGGGTTGCTTGTTTTCAGGTTCCTGATTTTATTTGTGGAGGTGCAGTAGAGATGTTTCAAATACCCTGTAACATTACAATTTATCCGCTCTCCTTAGTTGTCATTTGCAATATTGATGTATCAACATTTTGCCTCCAATGTTTATATCAGGACTGTGTGCAAACCAGGGTATCTTTGTGTTCCATCAGCCACTTCACATTCTAATTTTTCACTGCATTGGCTGTACACTTGGGTCACCATCATGATGACAGATCTGTCCCTGCCCTCTTTTTTTCTGGGAAAGGCAGGGTAGATCCGCAATCGTCGGACTCTCAATATATAAATTCTTGATGCACATGATTGAGGTGCATCCTCATGCTTCATTATTCACTGTGGTTGTTGTACTTGTCCCCTTAGACCATTTTGTGGTAAGATATGCCCTGTACTTGCAGCAAGGTCTGTCACAAGGACTTGACATCATCTTTGGCGAGTTAGTTTGTTGTTAAATCAAGAGTACGAGCATCATTATACAACACTGGGTGAAATGTGAAGTTAGTCTGTTATCTGTTGATAGGAGTGGCCTTCGTCTGCTAAAACATTTATTGCTATTCACTTTTGATGTACAATTTCCTTGCTAGGAAACATTGTATTCACCAATCTACAATAGGTTGCTGCCTATACTTTAGTTTAGAATTCTTTATCAGTCCAGGTAAGGTGAGATGGTATAGGTAAAAATGATAGGAGATGGATATGGATAGGTAAGGTGAAAAGAACATGATACACAAGTTTACCTTAGTATATCTAGGTACGTTGTAGGTTAATGTAATGGGTTGTCAGGAGCAGTACAGAAACACATAGTATCAGATGACATGAAGAGGAAGAGAAACAAACATCAGGCAAGCAGAGAAGAGAGAAGAGTCCGGAGGAGTTGGGACCTGAAGCTTGAACTAGGCAAGAGCCCCTACTTCATCATCCAAACCAAACCTGACTGGAGCTAAGTATTTGAACCTTGATAAGAGAGAGCATGGTATTCTGTTTTAGGGACCTTGGGTTTCCTGGGTAAAAGACACCTCAGTTAGAAAAGTCTTTCCTGCTTAGGGTGCATTTTTATGGATAGGGATATAGGCTCCAATTTATTTTGTGATTGCCAGGGTGCAGAGAGAGAGATTTAAATGCAGCTCATCTCTTATGTGGCCTCTGTAGGCATTATGAGTTTAATGCTTAGTAGCAGTCTGGGGTTTTCTGGGTGACCAGAATGTTAGGCCTCTGAAATGCCTTGTCTGTAAATACTGTACATAGTGTAACTTGTGTGTTGTAGGTTTTGTTGTCTGTAGTGTTGTTTGTTTCCTGTGTAATTGTAATAAATATTTGTTTAACCAAGTGTGCCTGGATTACTACTCCTCTCACCAAAGCTGTGCCAGAGAACAAAGAATCCATATTTCTCTAATTATACAGTACCAGCCGCAAAGGTATATTTCTAGAAATCACTTAAAAGTTGGGGGTTATGAATAATTATTTCACTTATTGACTAAACCACTCGGTCAAATCCTGATTTTCACCAGTTTTGTAACCCCCATTTGTAACACTATTATTAATTATACTATGTTTACAGCATTTCTGGTACTTGTATTATGATTGAGTGTTTTGAAACAGAACAAATTTTGACAAGGCAGAGATTGTGTGAAGTGAAGTAATTTCTTTGAGGAAGCACTGGCTGCTATAATATAGTAAATGATGTGTATTTTTTCCCACAAGAATTGCAGATAAAATCCTAAAATAATTTATATATATATAATACATATATTTTCTTTCTGTCAACTTAAGCAATAACTTACTTTTAGCATGGCAGCAAATGTTTGTTCGTAAAATGGCATGTGTGAAGAAACTTCAAACTGGGTAAGGAGAAAACAGGGTCCACTGTTTTTCCAGAACTGTACTGTATGCTAACCTTTCATACCGATCTCAAGACTGAACAGCATTGTTTGTTCTCCTTTCTACTTTGCACTTCATATGTTGTTTAAACCATTAATGCATTTCCTATCTCTTCAAAAAGAGAACAGTTTACTGTTTCTTTAGCGTTCTATTTTTAGAATTTTTTAGACCAATTTAAAAATTGTAGTGTCACTGCTTCATTGTGGCAAAAAATGAATTTGGAAATTATTAGGAATGGCTCTTTTCTGTTCCATTTTTTCTGCTTAGAAAAATACTGTTGTTTTTTTAACTTTAGTCACTATTATAGCATTCTGGTAACCACCATATGCACAGTGATGAATGAGTGGCCAATGTGAAAACAAAAGCAAAGCAGCCTACAATATGTTCTTTCACAAACTTTAGTGGTTTTAACACTGGACCTAAATGCAGTTGCTTTGGATGTTGCCACAGACGGATGTTACCCTGTATATAGACTGACATGAACATTGTACAGGAGTAATTTAAAACTTTATTTTTTATGAAATTGAGAATTTCCAATAAATATTCACTTTGGTACAGATTCAACTGGTAGAAGGGTTAACAACCTGAACAAGTCTTGTGCATTCAGTGGTATGAGCTGTGAGACTGGAACAAATTGAGAATACTTGCTACGTGCAGTTTACCAGGTCTGTTGCTGAAGGGGCAATCTATCAACAGCTCTCTGAAATAATTCGGTTAGATCTGAGAATCATGCAACATTAGTTTCATTTCTGTTTGGTGTAGCATATCACATTATAATAGTCCTTACTATTAATGTTAACATAAGTTGTACAGTATATTGTATTGGGCATTGCAAAATGTAAAAGGTTTAACAATACTTAATAATAATACTTTAATACTTTCATAATAATATTGGTCAAGTTCCAAAAGTATATCAGGTGGGTAGCTGTGTCAGGATGCGTAGGCTGCAAAGAAACAAGTAATAGGTTTATTCAGGTGTGAGCTCACCTCAACAGGAAGGTTCTATGTTCGTATTTCAGGGTTGATGTTGTAAAATAAAATTCTGTTATCAGATACCTCAATCAAGATATTTTAGACATTCCTGGATAAAGAACAAATGTTTTATCCAAGTGGATTTGGATAACAGTCTAAGCCAAATACAGTAATAATAAGCAAAAATAGTAATGAACTGCACAACCTGAATCCTTGTGTTAAAGGTACTGCATATTATTCATAGTAATTGTCTTTCTGACTGGATGTTTGTCTCAGAAAACAAGATATTCTTTACATTATTTTTCTTTTGTAGTGTAAGAGACAAACATATTCTAGTTATATTTGTGGTAATTTAGCTGAATACCTGGAAATGAAGTGATAATAATGGATAATACCTTCTGAATATATCATATGCATGCTTAGTATTCTTTCCTTACATTTGTAATGGTGAAGCCAGATGATTCTGTTTGTAAAAATTAGAACCTCTTATTTAAAATATTGGACAATATTAACATTATGAAGCAATAGATTAAGAAAACCTTAACAATGGTCTTTCAGTGTACTTTAGATATCCCAGATCAGTTATTTTTTCTTTGTAAATACTGAGCTTTGGTACTTTGGGATCTTGCCAAATGTAGAAGCTTTTGTATTGCTATTGACCTGACTCTTGTGTACTATATTTTTCGCTTGCTTAATGGCTCCACCTGCTGGGCTGTATTCTGTAAAGGATTTATTGAACTGATAGGACCAGATATACAGTTGCTGGTAGTAATTAATGTCCAAAAGTATTTTGTGGCACAACGTGTGTGTGTAAGCTGAAATCATTTTAATAATAAGTTTAGTAATACCTTTCAATAGACTAAAGGAAATCTGTATTGAAAGCACAAAAATGCTCTTGAACGTCACAATGAAATTGACAATCTACACAACTTCCACTTTAAATAAACTTCCTATCCTTGTTTCTAATTTAAATGATCCGTCATCAAGCCAACATTTGGGACTTTTTTACCTTTTCTTGTTTGTGACTCTTGACAATGCTATTGAAATTATGAAGAATATAATTATTGAAATACCACTAGGCATTATGAGTTAGATTAATATGATTCTATTCTTGTCTTAGGAACGTACTGTATATTGTGTGAAAAATCAAAATTTGTATGCTGTTTTTCTACCTAGAAAAAAAATCAAAAACACTTTGCGTGGTTCATCCAGACATTTAATTTGTATCACAAACCTACTTCTTGTATTTCAAACAATAATGTTTAAGATAGATTTGCACTCTACCTCCTTCAATCGAACTGAACAAATACTGAATTTTTACTTTAAGTTCTTGA